GTTCGCGGGCCATGCCCGCTGCAGACAGGCACCGCCCCCACAGACCGGACTCGCCCCTCTCAACGCAGACAGACCCTTCACTGCCCACCTTGAAAGGCCTTGTACAGACAGACCCCACCCACCACAGACAGGCCCCGCCCACCAAGGACAGTTTCCGCCTCCACCTCCGACAGACCCTTCTCCTGTTTTGGGACACCCTGCCTAGGGATTCTGCATCCTCCCGCTAGCTGGGGGCGGGGAAGCGTGTGTACGCTTCAGGTTTCCATTCTGTGTCTTTGTGTCCCGTCCATGTGTCTCTTTTTGTGTCATTTTGTCTCTTTCTGCTTTGGCTCTCTGTGTCTCAGCCATCGCTGCTGCCTGGCTCAGCGAGCATAGCCCTGCAGCCCTGGTGCCAGCTGTGCAGAGCTCTGCAGCTTTGGGACAGTAATTCCCTTCTTGGGCCACGATTGTCACCTGGGCACAGAGCAGCTCCTCCCTCCTGAGGTTGCTGTGCAAACTAAACAAGGTCACTTTGGGACGGTCCTGGAACTTTGCCCACCACCTAATAAACACCCGGAAATATCTGCAGCTCCCGTGAGAAGAGGGCAGTTCCCACTGCAAGATGTGCTGTGGGCGGCAGGGCAGGAGCAAGCTCCGTAGGGTCTTCCAGCGTCACCCATGCTCTCTCTAGCGGGGTCCAGCTTTAAATCAGCTCCGAGGGTGGTCTTTTGGCCTGGGGTAGTGTCGAGTCTCTCCCTTAGTGCGATTGTATCAGGAGCCTGTTGTTACAGTGGGTCAGGTAAAATAATGTGTAAAGAAACACGTGTACTGTCTGGCAAAGGCTACAGACAGGGTGACAGAAGTAGTGGGAAATGGGAGCTGGTGGGAGCAGGCATTATTGGGATGATGTTTCAGTGTGGTGCTTGGAAGGTGGCTCTGGGCCTTGGAACTGCATGTTCGAAGTCCTCCCTAATGACAGCCTGGTGTGATTTGAAAGGAGTGTAGAGTTCAGGGCATAAGGAACGTTGTTATGAATGAGGCTGGTGCCAGACCTCGTGGGCACTCAGAGGCCACCCTGAGTGTGAGGCTCTCTGGGGCTGGGTAGGCTCTGTGTGTGAGCTGTGTGAGGATGGATAGGAGGCCGGGAAGCTGAGAGTGGACACTGGGGACCCGTGCTTATCGGTAGGGTGGCTCCTGGACATGCTGTCTGGAGACTAGGGTGCAGGCAGGATGCAGTCATCGCCAAGACAGGGAGCCCAGGAGAACAAGTGGGCTTGAAAGGGATGCTGAGTGCAGCCCTTGCTTCTGTGTACATGATGGGCCCGGGGGTGGGGGCAGTGCCGAGGGTGGGGACCCAGTTGGTACTTAGCAGAAGGTTGAAGTCTGAGAGGTCCCAGCTGTAGGTGGAAGTTGAAACCATGGAAGTAGATGAGAAAAATGCAAAGGCCAACTCCATGGTCAATTTTCTTGTCCTCCCTCCCTTTTCTCCCCCCTCTCCCTTCTTACACGGAAAAGTTTAAACACCTGTCTCTTGGCTTAGGCTGTAGTTTAGTGATAGCACATGTAGTTAGCATGTGCTGGGTTCCATTCCCAGGACTAAAACCCAAACCCAAGAACCCTGCCTGTCGTTCTAGCACTCAGGAGACTGAGGCAGAGAGATTACTGCAGTTGTGAGATCAACCTGGGCCACAAAAGCAGACCTTATTTAAAAAAAAAAAAGCTAAAAAGTAACAGCAACAACAACAAAAAACCAGCCAGGGGCTGGAGAGATGTTCGCGTTCCCAGCACCCACATGGCGGCTCCCAAACATCTGTATCATCTGTAACCTCCATTCCTGACTTCCTCTTCTGGCTCCCACAGGCACTGCACATACATGGTACCCAGATATACATGCAGACAAATGTTCACACACACACAAAATAAAAACCAAACACCCACCTACCCAACAATGCCCCCTCATGGCTCTGAATACCTTGAAGACAAATGCTAGCCTCTGTCCACACCCTTTCCCGGAAGCTTCTTTCTCTCTCAGCCCCTGGGGGCCTTGGGCTACAGTATCCTGAAGGGCAGCCAAGGGAAGAGAAAGCCACCATGGGGGTTGGGCTCCAGCTGTGGGGAGAGGAAGGATCAGGCCAAGGTTTCCAGAATGGGTACATTCCATGGTGTTCAGCCACCTTCTGGCAGTGAGATGACACCTGAGTGTGGCCTCACAGCCACACAGAGCGACGATGCCAGGAGACAGGAAACATTGCGGTTGCCATGTGACCAGAACTTTCTTTAGGGGGTGTCAATGCTCACTGTCCATATTGAGTATGGAGACAGTGGGCCATAGTGGTGATGGAGCCCTGAGATACAAACTGTGATGAGAGCGAGTTTTCCTTTGATTTTATTTTGTGAGTGCTCCCAAGTGCAGGTGCAAATATGTGCACACATGCTTACAGAGGCCCGAGGACAACCTCAGGTAGTGTTCCTCACACACCTCCTATCTTGTTTTTTGAGACAGCATCTCTCACTAGCTTCGGGTGACCTGGCTAGGCTGGCCAGCCAGTGAACGGCAGGGAACCTCCTGTCCTTCCTCCCTCCCCAGCACTAGGATTACAGCACATGTTTATGGATCCTAGGGACAGAACTCAGGTCTTCATTCTTTCAAGGTGAACATTTCTCCCCTGCGTTTATTTTAACTTGCTAAATCATGTTATAAGGTGCCCCATGTTGACAATAGACCCCATGGGACTAGGTGCTCTACAACATTCCATGTAAACATCTTGACTAGAAGAGTACAAGAAAAGAGTGGACCCAACCAAGAATGAGGTCCAGATGGGTAAGAGGATTAAGTGTGTGTGGGGGAAACAGAGGCATTCCGGGGCCCCCTGGCATTAGAGAAGGAGGAGGTTGTGTCCTTTATTATAGCTCGTGGAAGACAACAAGCTGTAGGCTCAGCCTGACGTGTATTCTGTGCATCAGCCAGTAGCATGGCCTGATGCACATCAGTAAATCAGTAAAACTGGTCCTTACGCTAGATGTGTAAAGTGCACACTTGTGCCAGCATTCAGGAGGTGGAGCAGGAGCATCAGAAGTTCAAGGTCAACCTAGGCTATAAAGCTAGTTTTAGACCAGCTTGGGCTCACAAAAAACATGGGATAGGGTGCTGGAGAATGGCACAGTGACTGGGAGTGCTCGATGCTCTTGCAGAGGTCCTGAGTTCAGTTCCCAGCACCCATGTGATGCCTCACAGCCAGTTCCAGGTGATCCAACACCCTCTTTCATCCTGCACACACAGGTTCCATACAAGTGTGTGGTGTACTGACACACACTAAGGCAAATATTCATACATATAAAATTAAAAATATTTAAGATGCTGGGTGGTGGTGGCACATATCTTTTATCCCAGGACTCGGGAGGCAGAGGCAGGCAGATCTCTGAGTTTGAGGTCAACTTGGTCTACAGAGCAAATTCCAAGACAGAGAACCCCTGTCTCGAAAAAGAAAAAAAAAAAAAAAAAGATAAACAAAGCCCCAAGAGGGCTTGGGGCTATAGCTCAGCTAGCAGAATGTTTTCCTAGCATGCCCTTAATCCTGGGTCCATCCTTTGCACTGAAATAAACCAGCTATGGTATCGCAGACCTGTAATTCCGGAACTCTGAAGGCTGCGGCAGAAGGATCAGAAATTGAGGCCAAAAATAAATAAATAAACAAATGAAAAGAAATAATTTGTGATCAGCTTTGGCTGTAATAAATTTGAAGCCAGCCTGGGCGACATGAGAGCCTGTCATTCCCCCTCCCCCCAATAAAAAAGCCCCATCCCTAGGCCAGCTGCTCACTTAGGTTCTGATTCTGATAATGATTTGCATTCCTTTTAGAATCAGAGCTTGGGAGACTGTTCCTCACTTTTGGAAACTGAGGCCAAAGTCACCTTGGAAAGGCAATAGTCACCTGAGTAGCAAGGGACACTTGTTCATTTATGATTTTAAAAATATTTAATTTGTTTCTTATGTTTTGAAATTTTATTTATTTTATCTGTATGGGCCTTTTGCCTGTGTGTGTTTGTGTACCGTGTGCCTGTATGGTGCCTGAGAAAGCCAGGATCCCCTCTTATTGGAGTTACAGCTAGTTGTGAGCAGCCGTGTGAGCACTGGGGATCCAACTCAGGCCCTTGCATGCATTCTTAATCCCTGAGCCATCTCTCCAGCCCAGGGTGTCCTTATTTAGAGAGGAAAACATTGTATCTATGGAGACCAGAAATGGAAACCATCATTTGTTGTGTGTTTCTTAGAATGAGAAGGAAACAAGCAGGGAAGGGACTGTACTATGATACAATGAACAGTGAATAAAGAGATTACTGCCTTGTCTCAGCCGCCTGCCTG